CCCCAAAACCCCAAAACCCCAAAACCCCAAGATATCTGCATTTTATTGGAATTAAGGATTAGTATCTTTTAACCATCTTAGGGCCAATGTTGGCATTGAGGCCCAGCTCATGCTCTTTTCTCTTGGACTTTCATCCTGAAAAGAATTCATCACTCCTGAATAACTCAGAAGTGATTTCTGGACTATCATTATGAGATAAGGTGATATCATCAAAGTCAATCTCTGAATCGGGTCTGTCTTTAGGCTGATTCTGATTATTAACCAGCTCATTTTCACTGAAGATGCTACTCCCGAAGTTATTTGAGGAGCCATCATCCTCTGTAAAGATATCCTTCAGATCTAAATCATTGATATCTTCTGCTATCCTTTCCTTTTCATGCGCCTCGTTAGCTTTTTCTGCTTCTTCTACCTCAATTTCTTGAACTTTTATTTCGATGCTAAAGGGGTTATCATCTAAATTTACGGTTGTGCCTCGACATCATCCATTGCTTGGCTGATATCACTGATATGTACGCTCTCAGACTTGAGACTCTTCAGTATAGATTGGCTTAACTCAATATCTTTGGATTTTATGCTGCTGATATCGCCATCTGAGATATTATCAAATTCTTGAGAAATGCTAATCTCCTTTTCTTCCTCTTGTATCATAACTTCTTCGTAAAGAGGGATATTATTAACCTTATTTTTTTCCTTCTTCACACTTGATACAAACTCAGAAAACGTGATTGAACTTTGAACTTGAAAGGGAGAGATCTCGTCAAGTGCTTTCTTTTTAACAGTGGACTGTTTAATACCTGAATGATGATTATTTTTCTTCCTCTTTATGCTCATTTTCCTCTTTATTGCTCTTACTCTCTTCTTTCTCTTCATTAGGCTGATCTTGGGCTATAAGCTCCTGTTGATCTTCTTTTTGAGCTTCTTTATTTTGCTGCATTTCTTCTCTAAGTTCTTTGAGGTCTTCTTGAACATCTTGTTCGAGGGCATCTCCTGGGTCATCTCCTAGATCATCTTCTAGATCATCTTCTAGATCATCTTCTGGGTAATTTTCAGGTTCTCCTTCAAGATTTTCATCAATAGAGAGATGATTTACTCAAACAGACTTCTCTTGGGAAACCTCTTGATCATTTTTGACAAATTCTGAGATATCTTCTGAGTTTATAGTTCACTCAGTACTTCGCTTAGGAGCTAGGGTACCTTCAGTTTCTGGTTTAGGAGGTTGAAGATACGCATGCATGGATCCTTTCTTCTTGGCTTTCATCTCGCTGAGCTTGTTATCAATCTCTTTTCTCTGTATAGGGTTAGATTCAGGAGATTACTTCTTCTCTTTGTTGCTTAATTTGCTGTTCAATTGACTTATTTGTTCTGTCTCTTGATTACATATTCAGATTTAGAGTTATCAAGTGTGTTTGAAGAAATCTCAGCCTTTGACACTAAATCAATGTTTGGAAAGAGTATGTAGGTAAGACTTACTGATGTATTTAGCAATAGGTCCATCTAATGATTTCTCACAGTGAAGATAATATATAGTGACGTTTGATGCCATTTGTCCGACTCTATGGACTCTGTCTTCTGCTTGGTTGATAATTCCAGGAGTCCAGTAATATTCTGCAAATACCACAACATTTGCTGAATGCAAGGTGATCCCTTGATAAGCAGCAGTAATAGAAAGGAGAGCTATCTTTCAATTCCTATCATTTTGAAAGAATTCAATATTCGAATGCTTCTTTGTTTGAGAAGTTGATCCATCAATTCTCATATAACCGATTCTTTTCTTTTTGAGTTTCTCTTCATATGCATTCAAAACATCCTTATGATGTCAGAAGAGAAGGAATTTTATACCATTTTCAAGTAGGTTTTCAAGGAACTTAAACCCTCCTTCTACTTTTGCAGATCCAGTGAATTTATACAAATCAGAAGCTGGGTTCCCACTAGAGGGTTCCATATCATCATTCTTCATACCCCCAGTCTGGACCATGATCAAGAATTCATGTGTATCCATCTTTTTACCATGGCTTTCTTCATACTTCTGTTTCATTTGGTCGCTTTCTTTCAGTAATTTTTCTAATTTATTTCTTATCTTTTGAAGAGATTTCTACATTCAATTTTATCCTATTCTTGGGAGGTAGTTCCTTAAGGACATCCTTCTTCATCCTCCTGATCATAATATGCTTGGAAAGCCAGTAGTTTAGCTCCCCAAGGTTGGAAGCTCCATTAAAATCATTGATAGTTTTGACTCTGCCACCGATAAAGATTGTCTTTAACCTTGCATCACAATATTTTTCTCCAAAATCTAGAATGAGACTTGAAAAATACCACTGAATTTTCTAAAGACATCTGGTCTGAGAATCCTGACTAAATTATAAAGCTCTCATGGCCTCGACAACAGAGGTGTTCCTGATATGAGCACAACTCTTTTAATTGGCTCTAACAGAGGTAGAAGCTGTTTGGATCTCTTACTCTCCCGAGATTTGAGAGCATGAGCTTCGTCACATAATCATACTTTAAATTGCATTTGACTGATTTCTTCTCCTTTGTTTGTAGCAATATCGTAAGATATTATATAGATCTAGAGAAGTTCAACAAAAATTGTACCATTTTATCCTCCTTAAAACTGTCCTTGTTCTTATGTAAGATTTGGATATTTTCTTTTTTTATATTAAATCCCTCATCTCCTTCTGGAATCCATTTTAGTAACTCATCTTGCCAGTTGAGTTTGAGAGAACTAGGTCATATAATCAATAAAGGCCAATCAGAATGATAAACCACTGCGATACATATTGCTTGAAGGGTTTTACCAACTCCCATTTCGTCACCCAATAAGATCCTCCCATTGTGTTTGATTGCAAATTTAATGCCTTCTTTTTGGTATCTCTTCAGCTTCTTCCATGTTTCTATCGGAACACTCGAAGCTTCATACCCCAAAAACTCATCTAATCTTTACACCCAAAATTACCTTTCTCATAATTATACTCCGCCAAATTATTACAACTATACCATCACCCCTGCTTCTTACTTCTTCACCGAGAAAGGGACTGGGCACCTATCAAGCATATTCGCGTACATATCCACTACTTCAAAATGGTACTCAAACTCCCACTCCTCCCTTTCCGCCCACCTAAATCTCCACTCCTAATCTTACTGCTTCACAAACTCTATGAGCTCAGGTATATCCTTCTCGTCCAGCTCCCACCTAAAGTCTTACAGAAGTTTACCTCTTATTTGTCATGCACCCAAGTACACACATTCGACTGCTTAATAGCTTCCTTAATCTTTAGAAGGTTATTTCCGGCCGAGGCTGACTGCGTATTTGGAAACACCAATTTTTTCACAGAAGATTCTGTGAGTGCCTTGGGCTTGGAAAGATTTAGAATTTTGGTTTTGGAAGTGACTTGGATGTGGGTGTTTACGGGGTTTTGAAAGTTTTGAAGGTTTTGAAGGTTTGAAGTAGGTTTGAAGTGACATTGGGAAAGGTTTTAGGTCAATTATTATAAAAATTGCGGGGTTTTGGGGTTTTGGGGTTTTGGGG